CTTAACTGAACATGGTTAAAACAGCAAGGCAGAGGTCAGCAAGTACTTCACCAACTCCCCAAAGCCTTTCTACCGCCTACAAGTAAATGAAATCTATATTCACTCCATCACGCTTTGTGGTTAGAAAGGCAGAAATACAAAAGCACTGATCTTGGTTCTGTGGTAACTCACCCCCTGACTACCAAAGCCTATCCACCATCTGGAAGGCACAAGTCAGTAGTGTGATGGAACGCTCTGTTTGCCTGGGTGCAGCTCCGAGAACACTCATGAAGCTTGATACAATCAAGGATAAAACAACTGCTTGACTGGCACCATGTGCAAATTTCCAGAGGCACTGCAGAAATTCCCTAAGGCTCCTTCTAACAGCGCCTTTCACACATACTACTCTTGGTCCCTCTAATCCCAGCTCATCACTTGCTGAAAAATTCAAACTTGAATATTCCCAGTACATTCCTAGTTATTTCCCCACTTTCTACTTTAAAATCATTGTAAACTCTCCTGTCCTGTCTTTATTCAAACCAAGTCCAGTTCACTCATTCCTACACTTGCTGACCTACATCGCTGTCCAATTTTAAAGTGCTTGTCTTTGTTTACAAATCCTGCCAGAGGCCCCTCAATCCCAACCTCAAGCTCCAATTATCTGTACTGATCCAATTCTGGCCTGTCGAGCATACCCAATTTACACTAGTGCACCACTGATGGCTGTGTTTTTAGCTGCTGATGTTCCAAGCTCTGAAATTCTCTGCCTAAATTTTTCCAATCACTCTTTCCTCATAAAACATGCCAGAAAACAAACCTGTGGCCATAAACTGGTTTCAAATTTGCTTCATACTCCTTTCATGAATTGCTAAAGATGTTAGATAAACACAAGCTGAGACAGCCACTGTAAGCCAAACAGTTGACACAACCCAGAAGCTAAATAAAATTTAGTGCAGAGGCATAATTTAGTGTCTTTTCAATTCTTGGTTTTCTTATTTACTTCATAGTACTTTTAGCGAGTTTGAATACGAGACAAAATCTAGGACAAATTTTGGTTCAATGTAATTACTTTGTGGGTGCAGACAAGTTACATATATGTCAGCATTAAATAGAAATTAAACAATGGCATGAGAGAAACAGAAAAGTCAGGCTGTTACAGTATAATGATTGCATCATTTTTCACCTTTTACCTTAAACTTGACCTAAACCTATCGATACTATTCTACATAAGAACATACAAATCTGGCAATGAGTTCAAAAAATGCAAAATGTTCAATTTGCTATCTTGGTAATTTGATGTTCAAGAAGCAAAGTGAAAATGTTTTGTGCGCTTTGGAAAATCAATTCAACACCACAGTAGGAGGGTGAATCCTGTCCTAAACTCTCAAGCTTAAAAAAGGTGCAGATTGGATGGAAGTTATATAATTGGGTGGAGCATTCTTTCCAATGATCACACCTGAACCCTGCTGTAATCAAGCCATAAGGTCTGCATGTTGTCCACGTGGTGTTGAGATATCAGAAGTATAAAGGATATAAACAATACAACTTACTCACAAAGGAGAAAAGAGCATTCATATTCTTCAATTAAATAAAATTGAGGCTTCATTCATAATGATACAATATCACTGGCATATGATTTATCATTTTATTAGTGCAACCTTGCACATATACGACAAGACCTCCAAATCAAGTACAACAAATATTTCAATGTCAAGTCCAATTTCACTTCATCTAATCAAAAGGTACATTTATTAAACAGTCAAAACAACAATTCAATTCCAACTTCAAGAAAGATGATGAACAAAAATACAGTAAAGCTTCCATTATTCACACTTCATTTATTTGCCTTTCCAACCACCAGAATTTTCATATAGCCAAGTCTTGTGAGAGGAATTATCCAAGAGTAAATTTTACTTCAGTGTCTAAAGCAACACATTTATTAACTACTGAATATAAAACAGTTGCTACAGGAACAGATTTAGAAAATCAAGATGTAAAGACAATCTGCTGTGTTTAAATTGTAAAGTGAATTAATTCTATGAGCTACAAAGACCTTCAGGATTATCAGAGTCAGAGTCCTACAGCACAGAGACAGGCTCTTCGGCCCAAACCGGTCCATGCCGAACAAAATGTTGGTCCATGCTAACCCCATTTCCCTGCACTTGGCGCATATCATTCGAAACCTTTCCTATCCATGCATTTATCCAAATGCCTTTGAAATGTTGTTAATGTACCCACCTCAACCACTTCCGCTGGTAGGTCATTCCACGTGCATACCACCCTTTGTTTAAAAAAAAGTTGCCCCTCAGGTTCCCATTTATTCTCTCCCCTCTTACCTTAAGCTGATGCCCTCTAGTCCTCGATTTCCCCAACTGAGTGCATTCACCCAATCCATGCCTCTCATGATCTTATACACTTCCATAAGATTCACCCCCTTCAGTCTCCCAAACTCTAAAGAAAAATGTCCTAGCTTATCCAACCTCTCCATATAACTCAGTCTTTTGAATTCTAGCAACATCCTTGTAAATTTCTTCTGCATGCTTTCCAGTTTAATAACATCCTTCCTATAGCAAGATGACCAAAACTGAACATAATACTCCAAGTGCAGCCTCACCAACATCCTCTACAACTGCAACATAACTTCCCAACTTCTATACTCAGTGCTCTTGACTGATGTAGACCAGTGTGCCAACACCCTTCTTCACTGATAATAGGAACTGCAGATGCTGGAGAATCACCCGAAACATCAGCTTTCCAGCTCCTCTGATGCTGCTTGGCCTGCTGTGTTCATCCAGCTCTACACCTTGTTATCTCACCCTTCTTCACTGCCCTGTCTATCCGAGACTCCACTTTCAGAAACACGCACCTGAACTCCGAGGTCCCTCTGTTCCACTACAGGAGGTGTTGTGCCCTTTTTCAAGAAGGGCTGCAAAGAAAAACCTGGGAACTATAGACCGGTAAGCCAAACATCAGTGATAGATAAAGCTACTTGAGAAGATTCTGAGGGATTATACATGCATTTCAAAAGACAGGGTTTGCTTAGGAGTAGTCAGCATGGCTTTGTGCGTGGGAGATCATGCCTCACAAATTTGTTAGAGTTTTTGAAGTGACCAGGCAGGTTATTGAGGGCAGGGTGGTAGACAGTCTGTATGGATTTCAGTAAGGCCTTTGATAAGGTTCCACATGGTGGGCTGCTCTGGAAGCTTAGATCACATGGAATCCAGGGAGAGCTGGAAAATTGGATACACAGCTGGCTTGATGTCAGGAAGCAGAGTGTGATTGTGGAAGGATGCTTGTCGGACTGGAGGCCTGTCTCTAGTGGTGTGCCTCGGGTGGTGCTGGGTCCATTGCTATTTGTTATCTATTACAACGATTTGGATGAGAATGTACAAGGCATGATTTTGTTTGCAGATGACACTAAAATAGGCGGTATTGTGGACAGTAAGGAAGGTTATCGGAAATTGCAGCAGGATCTTGATCAGCTGGGGAATGGGCAGAGAAATGACAAATGGATTTCAATGCAGAGAAATATGACATGTTGCATTTTGGAAAGTCAAATCAATGTAGGAGTTACATGGTGAATGGCAAGGCCCTAAGGACTGTAGTGGAAGTCTAATTCCATCAAAATTTGCCTTGCCCCAATTTAAGAACTTGAACCTGTGGACTAGTTTTGTCCGTCTCTATAACTATTTTAAAATTAATAGAACTATGGCCACTGGTCCCAAAGTGCTCCCCCACTGTCACCTCACACTATACCTTCCTGTAATAGTTGTGCTTCAGGTCCTTCCATTGCAAATTACAATACATTAAGTTTAACAATAAGCCATCTAAGGAAAAAAACCCAAAAGAAATTTGGCACATACGATGACACCAAACAGGAAATGGTTTTGTAAACTGGAATTCCATGTTTCAAGTTTGTTGGGCTTGGTCACCAACAAACAAACAAACCAAAACATGACAACAATTTGTGGTTTTGCAGTGGTTTCCAATGGAATTAAACAGTACTTTGAAAGCAAGTTCTCACACAACTTCAGGACGCTCATGACTGTGCACCTCAGAAAACATCAATACAACTCTTTGCACTGTCACAGCTCTGTAGTCAGATCAAAAACCAAAGGCAGGGTAAAAATGATACTCCAACTGGAAATAGTCACTCGTGAATTGGTCTTCACTAAAAAATAGGCTGACAAGAGACCGTGCTTACATCTTATTTCCGAAGTTCAATCAGTATTTCCCTGGTTCTTGCCTCTCACCCAGGGACTGAATGTCTAGCTCATTCCACTTGGGTCCTACCCTCTAATTTATGGATTGACAGTCACCTTATGTCCTGCACGCTTATATAGGCGCAGTCAGTCTATCCTATTCTCCTTCACAGCCTATCCCAGGCCCCAAGATCTTATCCCATAACCCAATCTTCCCACCCCTCACCCAAAGGGTTAGCCACTGGTACTACTACATTCAATTCCTCCACTCAGTGGCTGGCTCTCTGCTCCATTCCCCCACTTCCTTAGCGAGGGGAGGCCTTTCACCTCAAGGGGTCAACATCCACACCCCACCCCGAACCCGGCCAAGGTCAGGCACCCTACCCCGTCCCCCGCTCCCTACCGCATCCCTTCCCAATGCAGAGGCTGACGGTCTGTTTCATCTCGCTCTGATCGACAGCCTGACGCGCCAACCGGAGAGGGGGACTGGGTCCTCGCCACCAATCAGACACCGAGAGGGGTGGGCTTTACCCAAAGGGCGTCACTTACAGACTGGATTTTTTTTACCCTGGGTAGCAGCTTTTGTCCCGGAGACGGCGAGGAACCGCACCCTCGGACTCTATTTCGTCCCCGACCTCTCGATAGCGAGATCGACCGTGTAAGCAAGCGGGAAGCCGAATGTCATGGACAAGGCGACAGCGGCCGGATACCCCCCCCCCCGACATAAAGAGTACGTGGCAGCTCTGCCGGTAACGTCCGGAGTTAGACTAGACACTGTACTGATGGGACAAGCGACGTCCAGGCCGGCCAGTCTCCTACCTATACATTTCCGATACGAAGCCGTTCCTGTTGCCGTTAGTAACTCCTCATCGTCACCACCATTTTCCCACCCTCTTAAAGCCGGCACAATCTCTATAACATTCGGCCCAGCGACAACCAGTATCACATCCGGCCCAAGCGTCACGTCCGCTCTCGCTTCATTTTTAACGGAGAGCGCAAGCGCGAAGACACCACCACCCTTTTTTCATCGGTCTAACGTCACCGCGGCAAATGCCCCACTCCTCGATTTGGCCGTTGCAGCCAAGGCACCGCCCCTTTACACGTCATTGAAGCCTAGGATCCGCCCACCACTACACCGCTTGCGGTCGTTCCCCACGACGTAATTGCCACAACTGCCCCGCCCCATCAACGTCATTATCAATGACGTTAAAGGCGTCAGTCACAATGATCAGCTGATCTGTCTGTTACCGTTTTTGGCTCAAAGGGTGAAGTAGGGAATTCTCCCTCCCCGTTTGGGGAGTCAGTCGCTGCTGATGCTTGCTTCATTTCCCATAGTAAAATAATCACCTAAAACTACCCCGCCTACTTCCCTAGCCCATCCCTTCTCTATTTATTTCGGATCTCCCTCCCTCCCCCGCCCATTTATGAGGAAGGGTCTTGACCCGAAACGTCAACTTTTCTGCTGTGTTCCTCCAGTTCCACACTGTTATCTCTACACCTGTGCTTAAAGTTTTCTTTCGCCTCCACTACCTTTCGGGAATGCACGCATTGTGCTATTTATAGATCTGTTGTTTCCGGATGGGTGAAGTTTTTCACTGTGGCACCAACAAGGGTATCGCCTGTATTGTGTTTATATAGCTCCTTTAATAGCCATTGATCGTCCCAAAGTTCTTTACAGCCAGTGAAGTGATTTTGAAGTTGAGTGTTATAATGCACTCAATCTTGTTATAAACTCTAGAACAATTATAATCTGTCTCTGTGATGTTGGTTGAGTCTTAAGTATTGACTAGAATACCAGGTTAACCTGCCTGCACTAATTTGAAAGTGATTAATAGGTCTTACAGTGAATCAGAGCCAAAGGCACAACCTGAATGAGATTCACCTTAATAGAGCTACAGCTGACACAAAGTGTTCAACGTATTACACTTCAAATCATATGGCATGTCTGATTCCACGTATTTATTAGCCCTATCTAGAGTTGAATATTTTATTCCTCTTTGGGGCAGCCACGTGTCCCACCTACATAAACCTGAACTCAAACTCCATTGCCCTTATCACAACATATCACATTGAAACATTATCTGTGCTCTCTGACCTACATTAGCTCTGTTTCTAGCAACACCTCAGTTTAACATTTTCAACATTCCCTTCAATTTTATCTTTGGCTTTGTCACTTGCTGTGTTTTCTCGTGGGAATGAAAAATTGTCAGTGTTTAGTATCATTGCTCATTTGGAATCTCCCAGACATTCATGATAATGTGGGCATCCTAAAGTCATTTTGAGACAGTCTATGGTCCTCCATAGGATATACAGTAAATGTTTGTATAAAACACAAATACGAATTGAGGAGAACTTTCATTGTAATGCAATTGGTCTCACTGTAAAATTCTCTGGGTGAATAAGGAAAAATGGTGTTCAACAAATATTTTTCAGGCTTGAGGAAGGCTTGTAGTGGAGTTTCACAGGTGTCAGTATTGGGACCCTCGCTTTTCCTGACATGTATTAATGATCTAGATCCTGGTGAATCTCCTCTGCACCCTCTCCCTCACCCAGTGTGGCGACCAGAAATGCACACACTCCAGCTGTGGCCTAACCAAAGTTTTGTACCACTCCAACATGACCTCCCTGCTCTTATAATCCATGCCATGACTGATAAAGGTAAGTGTCTTGTATGCCTTTTTAAGCACCCTACCTCTCCTGCCACCTTCAGAGATCAGTGAACAAGCATCTCAAAATCCCTTTGTTCCTCCAACCTTCCTAGTGCCCTGCCATTCATTGACTTCTTCCAAAGTGCATCATCTCATATTTTTCAGGGTTATATTCCACCTGCCACTGATCAGCCCATCTGACCAATCTGTCTAGGTCCTCCTAAGACACTTTTGCTCACTGTCAACTGCCTGGTCAATTTTCATGTTATCCACAAACTTACCTATCATCCCTCCCACTTTCTCACCTATATCGTTTATATGTATCAGGAATAATAAGCGACCCAGTACCAGTCCTTGTGATACACCACAGAAACCATCACCAGTACACAAACAGTCTTCTATCACTACCCCCATCTCGAACCACAAAACCAATTTTTGATTCAACTTGCCAAGTTACCCTGGACCCCATGTGCTTTGCTTTCTTTATCAGTCTCCCATGTGGGACCTTGTGAAAGGGCCTATAAACTACATCAACTGCACTACTCTCATCCACACACCTGACCACCTCCTCGAAAAGTTCAATCAAATTTTGTTAGGTGTGACCTCTCTCTCTGACAAAACCATACTATCCTTGATCACAGCTTGCCTCTCCAAGTAGAGGTGAATTCTCTCCTTCAGAATTTTCTCCAATAGTTTGTTTACCACTGATGTGAGACTCACTGATCTGTAATTCCCTGATGTATCTCTACCACCCTACTTGAAAAGTGAAGACACATTAGCTGTCCTCGAATCTTCTGGCATCTCTGCTGTGGCCAGAGGGGAAGTAAAAAATCCCCTCACCTCCCATAACAGCCTGGGATATAACTCATCAGGACCTGAAGATTTTTCCATCTTTAAATCACCAATGCCTCATCACTCCCTATGTCAATCTGCTCAGTAATCTCACATTCTATCTGTACATAAATTCCGCTTCTCAAAGTGAAGACAGATATGAAGTACTCATGCAACACCCTGCCAACAACCTTCAGCTCCAAGCTCGGATTGCCCCCTTCATCCTAAAGGCCTCTACTCTTTCTCTGGTTATCCTCTTCCCCTTAATATACTGATAGAATATCATGATATTCACCCCAAACTGACAAACCAGTCCTTTTTATGCCACCTCTTTGCTGTCCCAATTATTTCTTAAAAAATAATAAAATAGAAAGAGGTCACATTAGCAGGGCTAACAAGGTGTAGAGCTGGATGAACACGGCAGGC